AGGCAGCTTTTTCTAGAGCTTGACTGAGCGTGGGGGAGGAGAGATATAGGATGATAGCTTGAGGGGATGGTCGGGTCTGTCTAGTGAAGGTTTTTTAAAGATGAGGAGGGGAGGCTTGAGATGTTGAAAGCAGTACATAGCATATGTTTGAACAACTCTGTTTCTAGAGAGGTCTGTCCCTCTTGGGGAGGAAAAGGACTGAACCATTAAGAGTGAGGTAAAGAATTTTATTTGTATTTTGTATTTCCAGTTGAGGGCTTGCTGTGGTCTATTAGCTGACATCCTAGAGAGCTCCAACAACAATTCATGAATATTTGTGAAGTGTCTACTGGGTGTAAAACACAGTTCTAGGTACATTACTCTCCTGAAGAAATGGCCATTTAGATTATCTCCAAATCCTTTAGTGGGGTTAGTGGGTAGGACTCTTTCCTGTCTGGTTTCTTATCCCAGGACCCAGTCTATGCAAAGGGTGGGACTGTATTGGGTTTCACAGAACTTGATTCCCTTCCCCTGGGGAGGGACATAGCCCAAAATAAACCTGAACCTTGTGGAACCCTGAATCCTGTTCCTCCCCTGTGGCTCTACTTCCTCTTTCTTCCTTGTGTCCTGGGGTTTGGTGACTTACCTTTACTATATGTGCATCCCAGACATATGCCTCACTATTGTTCTTTTAAGTCTGAGCTCATTCTTCCCATGGATACTATGTGCATTGAGACAGTGCACCCCACATTTGTGGGGGAGGGAGGATGTTTTGTAGCGACTATCCTTAATATAACATCTTAGTAAATGTCTTTGCTAAGAGCTCCTTGTGTCTCCTGGCTGATTGTTAATGAGAAGTTTTAGAAACACAGCCAGTACAGCTAGGTCCCAACTCTAGATTGCAAATTTGGGGAGGATGCCAGGAGTCCTAAAGGATTTGTGGGGAGTCATTTCCTTTCTGTGGGGTGGAAAAATCAAGACATTGTGGGATAAACTGACAGAGTAAACTAGGCTGTCAACAGGCCTGCTGGCCTGGTCAAGAGTTCATGGCCTCTATTTTCTCTCCCCTCCCCCATCAGAGGCTAGACTAGAGGGACCAACTGAGTTGCATTTCCTAGTTTTAGGAGGAAGGTGTATACATATGTTTGGGAGTGCAGGTAAAAGGAAGAATAGGTAAGACCTAGTTGGATCTTAGCTATGCAGTGGTATTGCTTACAGGCTGGGAGCTTACTGTACCAGTGAGCACAGCAGCCTAGGGAGAGAAACTCTGATTCACATAGGTATGGGGAAAGAGACTGACAATGAATGAATAGCATAGCCCCATTATCACTAACCCTGCCTCCTGCTTCACGATATCTCATCACCCATTCCTTGGTTTGTTTCCCTATTCCTTTTTTTTTTTTTTCTGTAGGCAATGCGGTTAAGTGACTTGCCCAGGGTCACACAGCTAGTTAGTGTCAAGTGTCTAAGGCCAGATTTGAATTCAGGTCCTCCTGATTCCAGGGCCAGTGCTCTATCCATTGTGTAGCAGCTAGCTGACCCCTTATTTATATTAATATCTTCCACCTCCCCCAGACATCCCTACACACACACACACACACACACACACACACACACACACACACACACACACACACACATCTCCCATGGAAATGTTTCATGGCCATTACAGTTTAAAAAAATGTCACCCCTTTCCACCCCGATACATCATAGAGTATTAGAACAAGACCCAGAAGGGACTATGGGAAACAGCTTGGGATAATGGAAAGGGCATTGGATTTAGTGCTCTTCAAATACTATTGCCTCTGCTTATTTGGCAAGGAGCACTTACTTAAATGGGGCAACTAGGTGGCACAGTGGATAGAGCGCCCAGCTTAGAGTCAGGAAGACCAGAGTTCAAATCCAGCCTCAGATACTTACTAGCTGTGTGATCCTGGGCAAGTCATTTACCCTGTTTGCCTCAGTTTCCTCGTCTGTAAAATGAGCTGGAGAAAGAAATGGCAAACGACTCTAGTATCTTTGCCGAGAAAACCCAAAGGGGGTCATGAAGAGTCAGACACAACTGAAACAACTTTACAATGGTTTACTTAAATTTCTTAGACCTCAGTTTCCTTATCTGTAAAATTGGGGGCTTAGACAAGATGGCCCCTGGGGTCCTTTTCTAGCTCTACATCTATGATCCTAAGATTACTGGGAGATCATATTGAGTAGATTGGGTGAGCCAGATTATGCAGGGCCTTAGAAGCTGGGCAGAGGAGTTAGACTTGAAATCCAGAGTCACTGAAGTTTTTTCAGTAGGATAGTAAGCTGATCGATGATGATGAAGAAAGAGAAAAAAATGATGTTTAGGGAAGATTTCCCTGGCAGTAGTGTCTAGGGAAGGTTGGAGGGAAGATGAGGAGACAAGGAGCCTGAGAGGCATGGAACTGATAAGAAAGTGATAGATGGGAGAGACATTCTGAAGAAATCAAATTAGTTTGTGGAATAAGTATATAGGAGGTCCAGGCTTTCATAGAAGTTCGTGAGACTGAGAAAACAGCAGTGCCATGAACAGAAATAGGAAGAATGTGAGGGGGCTTGGTCACTTTCCAGAAGAACAGACAATGAGTGATTTCTCTGGAGACATTTTCAAATGATCTTAGCCATATTTATAAATTATAATAATATTAACACAGCAATACAATGTTTGTATATAACTTTTAACTTTGTGAAAATGCTTTGACACATGTAATTCCAATCACAAAACACTCATAGGACGTAAGCGTGGCAGTGACCATCATCTATTTTTTGTAGATAGGAAACTGAGGCATTAAAAGGTTAACAGGTTTCCCAAGGTCATAGAGCAAGTTAAACTCTCTTGTTTCCATTCATTTTCTCTTCCCTCTTGACTGCAGTGTTAAGACAGTGAAAAGGACCTCACAGTGATGCAATGAGGAGTTGAATTTGTCCATTTGATGGTTTTGGGGAGATGGTTTACCAAATTATAGTTGGGAGAAGATGATGCAGAAAGAGCCTAGAATAGAGGAAGAAGACATCCTGTGTCCTGACCAGGGGTACTATTATCACTGATTCTTTAGAATGTCCGGGCCAGCCTTGACTGATGCTTCTATCAGGACCTCCAAGAAAGGTTGGATCCCCTATATTCCCTTATATTCATTTGATGACCTGAGCCTGGGAAAAGTAGAGAGATACCATCACAAAACAGGTCAAGGCTGGGTCAGTTTATGGACTCCTGAGAACACAGGTCTGTACTGGATCAATCTGGGGACTCTTCTGGGAGGTAAGTATAGGTTAATTTGTGTTACCCCTGGGGGCCAAGTTGATGCCAATCTTAGGACAAATGTAGAGTTCTCCTATTGATCTAGGACCCTCTCTGCCCCTCTGGGCATCTCTTTTCATCTCAGAGCTGGGATGGAGCCAGTTCTGCATAGGAGGGCAAGGAGTATTTAGATAGAGTCTTGTGGAGGAACTCAAGGTAGGTTTTGGATCTGGCAGGATGAGATAGCTGCTGAGTTAGGTCTTTGGCTGAATCTCACTGGCCTCTCATCTATACCCTGCTAGGCACACAACAGATATGTTTTCATGGGCACTGCATGCACATTCACTAGAATATCACCCAGATACAAACATTCATGGACATATACAAACATATACATACATACATACATACTATATACATATACACACATACATATACATATGTGGTATATATATATGTGTGTATGTGTATATGCATATATACATACACACATACATATACATATGTGGTATATATATGTGTGTGTATGTGTATATGCATATATACATACACACACATACACACACACATATATATGTATATATGTGTGTGTGTGTGTGTGTGTGTGTATATATATATATATATATATATATATATATATTTTTTTTTTTTTTTTTACTCCAAACCTCTCCTTTCACCTATCTAGTTATTTCACAATTATTCCCAAGTAAGCAGAGAGAAAGTACTCATTCCATTGCAGGGTAGGGGTGGAGAGCTTCTCCTTTAAAAAGAAAAAGAAAATGAAAATCTCAACTTGAATTCTGAATTATCTGGGGCTTGGTTTATTAAAGGGCCAATTTTTCCAATGAGATCAACTGGTAAGTACATGAAGCTGTTACTCTGTCCCTAGGAGAAGAGGTGTCACCTAAGACTGCAAGAGTTCACCATCTCTTTCTCCCTCTCCCTCTTAGCTACTTTCGATGACTTCCTATTTCACAATATGGACAACTGTGGGGTACAAATGTCTATCCAGGACATTGTAACCCCATGGATTGGAGGCTCTTCATTAGCAATTGATCTTTTAAGTTGTTCAGAGCTGTTGGTGTTTCAGGGTCATTCTCACGAGCTGAAGTCTTTAATGCAGCTTCCATTAAATATATATATTATGAGAGGGTTCAGGATAGCAAATAGGTTGGCCAGACTTGGGGTATTGCAGTCAGCCAATAGAAACACAATGTAGGATGTTTAGAAATATTCATAGCATTCTTAGCTCTGGCTACGTCAGGTTTCTGTTGTTGTTTCCTGGTGGCAGCAACTAGTTTCCTTTGTCGGCCAGTATCTGTGAGATTTCTAGATGGGCCAACTACAGCGCAAACTCATTAAAAATGAAAGGGAAGAGACTGAAGATTAGCTCTTGAAAAAGACCTGCAACTCTTTGGCTGGCAGCCTGGTATTTGGCTGAAATGGTACATGACAAGAATTCCACGTGCAGAGAAAGGAGGAGAAGGTAAGAAGGCTAGGAAAACCTGCCAGGTGAATGAGAATCAGTGTGCACATGTAGAGAGAGCTTAACTTATGTTATTGGCAACCCAAATGTGAAAGTGCAATGACTTTCAATGATTAGTGCTGGCTGACTCTGTTTCTACGTTTCTTAGCAAGTTGCCATAATCTCTGACCTCCCTGATTAAATAACTGCCAATTTGGAAAAATGATATTTCTGCCTTTTCCAGATGTTTGAATGTCTCTTTCTCTTACTTTTCTCCCTCTTTTGGCTGGCCCTCAGAACTGTATCCTGGAGAGCTCTCCGGAGGTATCCCTTTGTTTTAAATTACTGTCTCCTTTCCTCACATCCTCTCCTTTTTGGGGAGGGCAAGTTGAGCAGCTGTCACAATCTCATGCAGGCCATCCTGCTCTGTGTGTGTGTGTGTGTGTGTGTGTGTGTGTGTGTGTGTGTGTGTGTGTATGTGTGTGTGTGTGTGTGTTGTACAGAATTCTGTTGCTGTCCTTCATCTTGTGGGTCTCAGCTTGGCAGCAGTTGGCTTCCCTGGGTTTTTCCCTGCATGGCTGTTTTGTTTGTGATGTGAATTGATGTTGTATTCAGTGCTTAAATAACAATGATAATAGAAGAATAAAAGCCCAATTGATTTTGGGATTTGCCTATGATAGGGCAAGCCTACAGTAGTGATTTTGTTTGGACAGCGACATGCTGTGGTCTTTGGTTGTGAGTTTGCTATACTTATTGCTGTGGGTGATTAGATGTGGGACTGTGGGTTGGGGGGAGTAGGAACTTAAATTTCAGTGTTCTTAAATCCAGAAAAGAGAGGGTAAAAACAGAATGACAGTGAGAGGAAGGAGGATCATTGCAATGAGTCTAGTGATCTCACCTGGACCAAAGCTTTTCCCATAATTTCTTTTGATCCCAAGACCTGGTGAGGAGTGACTGCCTTGATATAAAGACCTAGATGCTATAACAATGAATTCCAGCAAGCCACTACCTGGAATGTAGTGGAATAGGCCATGGTTTGTGATATAAGTTAGGGCTGGGTCACCTAGAACCTGGGTTCCTTAGACTGTTGAACTTTTCTAGAGTTATTGTAGAGAAAGGGTATTGGCAAGTATTGAGTGCATAACCACCTTTAGATACTGGCTTTTTCAGAGTTCTTTTGGAACATCCCAACGGAACCACAGAATCTCAAAATATTTGAAACAGACCCCAGCAGAAATCTAACCTGACCTCTATCCAAATTAAAAAAACCTCATCACAATATACCTGACAAGTGGATCATCTAACTTTTACTTAAAGAAGTCCATCAAGGGGAAACTTTACAACATAACCCAAAATGGTCAACCACCTTTTGCACTGAAGGTCTCCAGTCTCCTCTCCCTTCCTCCCTTCCCTACTTCCCAGGACAGCTCATTCCACTTTGGGTAACTCTGATTGTTAGGAAATTTTCCCTTATATCAGGCCTGAATTTTTCTCTTTGTAATTTCCATCCTTTACTTCTTGTTCTGCCCTTCTAAGCCAAGCACAAGCCTGACCTCTTCAAGGACTTGAAGGTCTAGAAATCCTAGAGGTGGCCTGGTTGGTTCAGTGAGTCCTGACTCCAAACTCCCAGCTTCCCAAAGGCTTTTTCAACCTCAGGCATACACCCTTGCTCCTATCCATAGGTAGCAAAAGTCACCATCGGGAACAGGAACACACCACCTTAGGACAAAAACGAAGAGCCCACATGTTAGGACTAGGAAGCCAGGCAGAAAATTCTGGACTCAAGAAAAAAGATGTCAGGGGCAAAATTTGGGAGAGGATAATGTTGGTAAGAATCGCACTGGGAAGCATGTTCTGCATTTGTTTTTTAAGATTCGGGTTCAATGGAAAGAGCATTGGTTCTAGAGTTAGGTTCAAATTTTGCCTGTGGCACTTACTACCTATGTGTCCTTGGAAAAGTCACTTCCCTTTCTTTGGGTCTCAGTTTCCTCATCAGTAATATGAGGGGGGGGTTAAACTAAATGGTTTCTGAAGACCCTTTCAGCTCAAGGTCCATGATACCTTCCCCTAGCCCCCAGTAACTTGTGCTCTCTAATTTCTTTTCTTTCCCTACCCCATTTATCACCTCCTAAAGCTGTACCTAGGGCAGTTTGTCCATTCCCCCTACTCCTGTCTACTCCTAGCCGTGTACATATATGTATGCTCAAACACAAAATGGATGTCAGGTAGATATGGTACAGGTTTTTCCTGTCTCTCACTGTCCATTGTATTTAATAGAAATCCCACTACCTCAACACCTCTGAATTGAAAAGAACCAAACATGCTCTCAAATGAAACTTTACTAGACCTGATGCTCACAGGTTCCTACAACTACTTACCTTGAGGATATGGCCTTTCTCTAGGGTCCTTTTTTGGATTTCCGACAGAATAAAAACATGTTTGATTGTTGGGTTCTAGTCTCCTAACACTTTGGGCTATACATAGCCTTGTCCCCAGGTGTCTGTTTTTTTGGCTAGATATTCGCTCTTCTGGTGGTTGGCTCAGTTATGGTTTTTAGGGGGATGCTTTGGGGAAGGAGAATAACATCAAAGCTGCAAGGATTAGATGAAAGTACTAGAGAAAATCCCAGTGACCATCTCCTTCTTTTCTGTCCCAAAGGGGATGATGATCAGTTAATCAACAAGCATTGATCAAATACCTATTTTGGGCAGGCACTTATGCAGTGGTCTAGTCTGGTTAAGGTCTGGGGACAGTCACAGGTCATCCTGGATTCTCCTTGGCAGGGCTCATGCTCTGACACATTTGGACGTTTGGCTAGGAACTTTTGGGTGTTGAAGCCATAATGATCAAAAAGTCCGCCTGAGGTCACATCCAGCTTTCTGAAAAACCTGGCTACAAAAGAAATCACATGCTCTCAGGGAATCATAGATACAGAAAGGCGAATTTCCCTACCCAAGGCCTCACAGAGATCAAGCAGAAGACCCAGATTTGAACCCACTGCTTGTGATTCCAAACGCAACCCACTTCCATTAGTCCAACCTATCTTGATTTTGTTTTATGCAGTTTTTCTATTCTGTCATCTCCCTTCTCTGACAGTGCTAGCACAGTGTTATGTGCTTAATGTTTATTCAGTTAAACTCAATTTCTGGCATTCATTCTTTTTTTTTTTTTTTTGCCAAGGATGTGTTGAGAAGACTTGCTTTTCTCCTTAACGTCTAGTTCAGAAGTTGGAGATATTTCCCCAAATATCCAAATCTCTCTTCCCTGTATTAATGTATTATGCATCTTCTCATCACTCATGAATTTATTTCAACCCTGTTTGAAGCCATAGCCAACCTCTTGGGGGTAATGTATTCTCTGAATATTCCCACTCTGCATAGTATTTCTTTTTACTTTAATTCTTTAAGGAGCTGTTATAGTCAGTGGTGTGGGTGTTCTATCCACAACTGCAGGTCACAATCCCACTATAACTTAACAGCTGGTCTTGAAGAGTCACCTTCAGAAGAGGAGAGGAGAGGAGAAAAGAGGAGAAGAGAGGAGAGGAGAGGAGAGGAGAGGAGAGGAGAGGAGAGGAGAGGAGAGGAGAGGAGAGGAGAGGAGAGATGAGATTATTGCAATGCAGCCAACCTACTGATAAGCCTTTGGGAACATAGCTAGACTATTCTTAAGAAAACAGGCCCAGCACTGGGTCTCCAGATCAGAAGATTGTCCCAGAGCTTGTACTCAACAGGCATAGTTTTTGAGAGCTCAGAGTCACTAGCATGCCAAAACAAGGCTTCAAAAGTAGAATTTAATAGGAGATTATTTCCTTTTGTTTATTTTAAAACTACTTTTTTTTTCCATCTTGGGGCCTTCTGGTTTGAATAATTCCTATATCCACTCCTATTCTTCTCCAGCTTGGTCTTTTTCCTCTCTTGGGGTATAGGGTGTGTTCAGGGAAGACTAGAACCTGTGGTGTGAGGGCTTCTGAGCCCTTTTCAGGGTTGCTTTCTACTTTTGGTGTCTACCTTATCCACCTAACTCTTACCTGTTGCTCCAAGAAGCTGTAGCATGAGCAGTGGCCACACCCTGGTAAACCATTTCAGAAGATGGGCTAAACCAAGTTGAGGGTAACTGAGGAGTCTGAAACCCATCGGTGAGTTAGCGAAGTATCTCCCCCCAACGTGTGAAGACTTCCCCTGGTGGAATGGGCAGATGAGAACAATTTGTTCCAAGGGCCATGAAGGCAGCTGAAGCAGGTGCTGTCGAGCCCTTGGAGCTTGGTTAGACATCGAAGATGCCAAGGTCATCCCCTGCATCTTGAGCCATCACCAGTCATTTTGACTCTGTCCTGGCACTGGACTGTGACGACTCTGGAAGAGAGTGAGGCTGATGACTTTGTGTAACTCTGCCTCACTTAAATCAGATTTATATACAAATCAAAAGACATCACCCATACCATTTTACCATTTTTACCTATCTTAAGGTCCTGTGGCAGTGGGCAAGTGATGAAGCAACAGGTGAGGATACATGGGAAGCTGTAGTCACAACCCTGCGTGCAGGTGGCCCAGGCCATTGAGTCATCTTGTACCAGAAGCAGCAGTGGGATTCAGCAACCCCCTTTATGTCTGAGCAGCCTTTTTAAAGGACTGCACTGTTCATCTCCTCCTGTGAGGAAGATGCATTAAAAATTGTCTGCTTACCTAAGCCTGGCCTGTTTACCATGACAGGTGGGGAATCCCACCCCATGGTCAAAATACACACAAAAAAATGTACAAAAACTTCCGCAAAGATGATTCTGCTCACCATAGGTACATGGAATGTGTGCACACTTGTAGAAAAACCAAAGTCCAGTAGACCTGAAAGACAGTTCTTGTTGCAAGAGAATTCAGTGGGTATCGCATCCAAATAGTGCCCTTGAGTGAAACAAGGCTGGCAAATGAAGGCCAGGTCACTGAAGTTAGAGCTAGATACATGTTTTTCTGGAGTGGCTGCAGTGAAGGGGAGCACCATGAATCTGGTGTAGGTTTTGCAATCAAAACTAATCTAGTCAACAAGCTTGTATGCCTACCAAAAGAAATGAATGACAGGTTCATGCCAATGAGATTGCCACTTGCAGGAAAATGCCACACCACCATCATCAGTGCCTATGCTCCCACCATTACGAACCCTGATGAAGTCAAAGAAGTATTCTGTGAAGACCTGGAGACTCTTATCATCAATGTACCAAAAGAAGACAAGCTTATAATTCTGGGTGACTTTAATGCTAGAGTAGGCTCAGACAAGCAGACATGGCAGGAAGTCCTTGGGAGGAATGCAGTTGGAAACAGCAACAGCAATGGTCA